GAATCCTTTGAAAAATATCTGCTTTTTATTGGAAACATTTATCGCGAAACTCGTAGTAAAAATAACTTAATTTTAGTAAATATTGTATATTTTAGTTAATGTTATAAGTATTAATTTGTAGATCATCAACCTTTCGCATGAAAACCTTTTTGAAAAGTTATGGAGAAGTGGTACATAAAAATTGAACCAGCAATATAAAAGCTCTATACAGAGGGGTATCCAGGGATCTTTGTAAAGGGAAAAGATCGGCAAAGGTCGGGCGCTCTCGGCTTTTTCCGTACAGCTTATAACCCTTATTTCTGCTTTAGTTACTAATAAATGTTCTTCATTCATTATATTCAACCATTTTTTATATCAAAGCTTATAATATTAAATGGTTAATTATTTAAAAAAAAAAAAAATTGAGGTACATTATGGGAAGATATTTTGAAAATTAGCCATTTAAGAACAACATGAATTTAATAAAAATCGTTCAGGGCCGTTTTTTAAAAAATCGTATGTTAAATGTTAATTCGATTATATAAAATATCACTTCTGGTAAGCCGATTTTGATAAAACCAAAAAAGTTGCTGTAACATCCCAGGCATATCAAAACCTGAAATGCAATTACAATTTCACTTTCGTACGACTTGTCGTTTTTTAGCTAGACAGTTCACATTCATACACACACAGACCATTTTGCGGGACGTAGTTATTTGAACTCGGGGGACCTAAAAACATGTATTTCCGTTGGAAACTCAGATTCGAAAATTTTCTGGAGGAAAAGGAGAATGTGTCGATAATGCGCACTTTGAGCTTCTATTTCAAGCGGAATTTGTAAACTTAAGTAAACATTTGATCATCAAAACATTTATATAGAATTATAAAGGAGATGTTAAAAATCAAACAATAATATAGAGATCGAAATTTCTTAAGTTATACGAACATAACTTTTTTATTAAAATCATCTACTTGTAAAATCCGTAATTATTTAGTTGCCAAACCTATACAAATTAAATAAATTCACCCAGCAATAATTAGACAAATTTATATATATATATTATGCTTTAACGCCTGACAAAAGTATCGATTTTTTTTTCTGATTGAAATCGTCCGTAAAATCGTCAAAAGCTTCTTAGTATGTCATGAATTGGATTATCCATGATGACCTTAATGACGTCTTAACATTTAGGCTTGGCTCGAAACAGATACGGGCACCCACTAATATCCAACTTCCTAATCGACTCCCAATACCCACTCCTCTGAAAAGAAGATGGACCCGAAACGTCCTGGCAGACATCAGTCATTGATAGGTCACCAGTACGTTCTCAACGTTACTGTCATGCAAGATTCATATGTCAATCCGGCATTTTTTTTTTTTTTTTTTTTATTAATTTAAGCAATTTGGATCTTCAATACGGGTAATAACAATAGCAATATAATAAACAAATCTTGGATTAAAATAAAATTGAAAAAGTATTTATGTTACTTTAAAAAAACAATATTAAATTGGAAACATAATTAAAATTAGATATTTACTCAAGATGCACGACACTGAAATCACGTACTTAAGTTAAAGATATATGACTGGAATTTTAAAGCAACTTTCAACTAAAATAGAGATACCGAAAGTGCCATTGAGTATCATTACTTTTATAATTTTTTCTCGAAAATAGCACAAACGATTTTGATTAAACTCGTATTTTTCATATAAAATGAAATGGTATTTAATATCAGATAGGTCTTATCCTCTTTGAAATAGCTTGAGGGAGCTTAAATCTGGATTTTTTTTTTTTAATTTCTTCCTCTTAAGTTCCTTTATGTTTGTTCGTTGGAAGTAATTAAATATCTCTCATTGTTAATAGTATAACTGGCTATAAAAGAATTTTATAGTTAACTAAATGAATTTATTTAATTATATATTATTAAGAGGTTAATAAACGTTTCTATAGAAATTAAATGGGATTTTCATAAAAAATATAAAGGTTTTTTTTTCACCTTGGCAAATCAAAAGTACATAGTGCATAGAATCATCATAATTTTTATTAATTTAACTTAGTTTGTTATCCACATCATAACATTACTCCGCAATTTATCGAAGAATAAAACTTCTAAAAAAGAAAAGAAAAATGTTCATATTGTAACAGTCTAAAAGACATAAAAATATTCTGTTAATTGTTATCGACACGGATCTCAAGTTAAGTATACATGTGACAACATCGAACAAATTTGCTAGTCAAGACATAATTATGTTTAAATGAGAATCTGATAATGTCATTTACATATTTTAATTATTTATTTTATTACTGCATTTCCCTTATAATAAATGAGTTGTTACTTATTACTAAAGTAAATAAGTAATAATAGAAGCGACAAACAGTGTTGGGAAAGGTTTTAGTTCAAGTCGAGCCCGTGGGGGTGTTGAGTGCGGTAGTGTCCGGGCCCAGATCTCTCACTCAAGTCTTTCCCGAAAGCGACAAAGACTGAAAAAAGACTTTCGATGAAGTATGTAATTTATACCAAAAAATGAATCAGCATCGGAAATACGAGATGACGTAATAACAGAAAAATCTGAGCAGTTATGTGTCCCGAAGAAATATAAATGAAAAAATCAAAAACATATAAGAAAGCAATCAAGGTCGAATTCCCAATTTCATCCCGAAGATTATGAATCCTATGGATCTAATTAACATGATCAGTATATCTCTTTGGCTAATGTGGATAACACAATATTTCAATTGCAGATGACAATACCTAAATACGACGTATACTAAATTCAATCTCGCTACAAAAAAAAATAATATTTTTAAAAAAATGTTACTCTTTGTTAGCTATAGGTTTTTCCATTTCTGCACCAATAATTATTGTTCATCGAAGGTCCATTTATCATTTTTTCGACACATTCATAAAACAAGTGCTATCTATACTATCAGAAGATCACTGAACATGAAGCTGAAAAATACCCAAGTATTATGCTTGAATTGATTATTTACAGAATTAAAAAGGCAAATAAATAAAGACATTATTAGTAGTAAACATGGATGTAAACCGATGTTTCCTTAAATAATATTAATTTAACATATGATAATTATTAAATTATTGATTGATTTTGGATTAAAACAGACGAATGTAGATTCATTAATATATAATTGAATTGTGAATGAAAAATATGTAAAAATTGTCTCTAGACACGAGTTATAGATAATTGAATTTTCGTGAATGAATGGGTTGTTAAAATTTTCTCTGTACATGAGTTATATAGAATCGAATTTCCAGGAATGAGTTGGTAAAATTTCCTATGTAAATGAGAAGTGCAGCTCTTACGCACAGTAGTAGTATTGAGTAGTGTTAATCTCCATTAAGCAGAACTTCATCTGTTTGTACATAATATAATATTTATATATATAAATTGCATACATATATATATTTATTTATATATATATATATATATATATATATATATATATATATATATATATATATGTATGTATGTATATATACATATATAATGTGTTTCATAAATATATAATTACCAAGTATGTACTTAAGAAGTACTTGCCCATGACGACAGTAATTTTCAATGTAAATGCATCATGTAATTGGAAAATTATAAAAATTAATCCCTATCTTGAAAACATAATCACTAGTCCGTTCAAATAAATATCCGCAATCACGAACACGAATACAGCAATCACTACAAATTATTGCGATCCATAACAGATCATGGAAACCTATGTACCATTATAGATGGCCTTGCACTTGAAGAACAGTTAATAATGGCAAGTGAATTCCACTACCAATGTAAAACATTCTGCTGTAGTAAGTGATTTGCCCTGATGTAAAATATAACAAAAAAATTATTCATATACTTACAATTAATTTTGAGAAGGGCTTTGGGACAGACCTTGATAGGACAGTTTGGACATCTCAAAAGACTTGAAAAGCTTTCAAAAGCTTCTATTAATTTCCTAATATATTCTGTTTTCATTATATAACTTTTAGAATATATTTTTTAATTATATTTAGAGTAAGAATCAGGTAAAAGCACTCACACACACACACACATACATATATATATATAATTAAAATAATTAAAAATTTATTATTATAAATACATATCGCTCACAATTGAACATTTATTCTGAGATATTTCTTTTTATTTATTTCTTGAAATTTACAACTGTATTAAATATCTGCAACCAGTAAATGTGACACAGATAAATATAATGACATGAAGAGACTTGTCATGAAACACCTGAATGGTAGCACTCCCTAAATAGCTTTGAGTAAGAAGATCCCGAGGCCATCTTCTTATCGGACGCCTAGATGGATTATTAGGAAACAAGTGGGTTCGGGTGGGACTGGGGTTTATCACGAAAGGTAGGTATCAGGTTCGAATGTCTTAAATATTATTTTAATTTAAATTAAGAAATCATGTAAATTAGTATAAAAGCTGTGTAAAATTGTTTGCAACTTTAAAGAGACGTGCCACTAAAGTTCTGTAGTAGTTTTCTGTGGTTCATTGGGTAGCAGAGAGCCTAGTTCTGAGGACTTGTGACATTAATGGCATTTAAAAGGTTTCCTGCAACCTTTGGACATCTCTACAACTCCGGGGCATCAAACCCTAGAAAAACGAACCAATCAATTGGAAAATGTGTATTTGGGGCTAAAAGGCAGTTCTCCAAGTGTATGGGTAAGGGTCGAACTGTATTGGTGGGTGTGGAAAAAAGTGGGCGGCGATTGAAGGGGCCGTGTATTGAGAAGGGAGGCAGCCCTGCGCCCTGGGGGGGTAGAGGCGGGCTCGGCAAAGAAGGGGAGAAGAAAGGGTAGGAAAAAAGCGGGTCGGAGAGTGTGAGGGAGAGAGAGAGAGTGAGAGGAGGCTAGAGAGGAGAGAGAGAGAGAGGAAAGGGTTGGGGCGGTCTGCGCAGGGGACCAACTCTGTGCCTTAGTTCGGGGGGCGGGCGGTAGGGAGCGCGCAATTGCGGGGGGGGAGCAGTCGGCTGGTGTGCACCGGCAGAGGAGGATGACCCAAGAGTAGACCCCTTCTGTAGCTCGAAGCCGCGATGTCATAGCCTCTTAGAGCATGGATATACATGGTATGCAGTCTATGGACTGGCTTTTCAAGAAAGAGAGAATCTACCTATTGGCACAGTTTTGGCAGCAGGTGAGTCAATAATTATTCTCAGTCCAGTGAAGTGCCCTAATATACAAAAAAAAAAAAAAATCAGTGATTCGTCAGCGAGAAAGTGTGTTTTTTTATTTATTTTAATTTTTTGTGAGTTCCGGCGAACATCGACGGCAACGCGATTTTTTCCTGAGGTACTGTGTTTTTTGTTTATTTATTTATTTTTTTTAGTTATAGTTTTTGTTTATTTTTCCGGACATCGGTTGACATTTAATGATTGTTATTTATTGTGTTTAATTTTTTTATTTAATTTATTTCTATTCAATTCGCACAACGGACCCACATGCCGTACCAAATTTGAAATCTTGCCACTAACATCCCCGCTAGTCGTGTTACCTTTTTGACATCCCATCAATAATAATCGGTTTCCAATTCGTGACCTGTGCTTTTGAGCTTAAATACATGTTTTCTCGAAAACTTTTGTTATTAAAAAATAGAAGTGTCTGTTGACAACTCTAATATTTGTCAAAAAGCGTGAAATATTATTGTGAACGTTTTAGTATAGAACTGAAACCTGCGGTTTATAACTGGTAATATTGGTAGTATTATAAAATGAATAATTTGTACGAGACTAATAAAAGAAGCCCGTACAAAAATTCCAAATTTTCCCGCTTGACATGTGTGCTCGGTTGTGCCCGGGAAGTGCGAGATATCTCTCAAAGAGTTTTTGTCCGCACTTCTTTCGGCTATTCTGAAAATATTACTTTATATGAAACTTGAAATAAAAAAAAAATATATACACTATAAACAATGATATCTGTATTACCGTCTTTCGTGTTTATCTTTATAATTTCAAAAACTGAAAAATTATTGAAGAAATTTCAGATATCCGAATCGACTAATGTTCTTTCCAAAATTTAACCTAATTTTACGGAAAAATCTTGATTGGATTTATTCTACAATTGTTAAAGGATATTTTATAACTGTTTTGGCAACCTCTAAAAAAATATATGACTGCACAAAAAATATAGTAATGAATTCACACAAAAATATCTAGTTAAAATTCTGTTGGTTTATTCGAGTTCCTGTTCGAAGTCTAACTCTATGTTGGAATCGGTTTAAAAATATTCGAATTCTTCCTAGTCCATTACTTTGCTTACTTTTAAATCAAAATAAAGTTTGTTGACAGTTTAATGCTTTGTAGTTTGCCGTCAAGTTGAAAAACAGTGACTCCGTCTTGAGCTACCGGTATCCTGTTGATACTTGTAACAATTTCTATTATTTACTTTTTTTTTCACCTACAATATTTGGGCTTATGAAACTGAATAGTGCTTACAAAAATTTCGGTCAGTTTTCCTAATCCATGTCTACAATTTCCAATCACCAATTCCAAGCGCTAAATGCGCATTTACGGGTATTTATAAGTTGTCTTAAGTATTATATTATTCATAGTTTTACAGAATAATTTGTAGTTTTACATTCTGGATAGGTCTGGCGTTTCTTAATGTGTTAGTTGATATTTTCTGAAAAAAAAATATATATATTGTTATAAAATAAGAGCCTACTTGAAGAAGTTATAGATAGTGTGTGGATAAAATTTGACAGAATTTCATTAACGTCATCCCTTTGATAGAACGATGAGCAACTTTGACTAGACTTTTTTCATCCGTCTTTTGGTTTGCCCTCTGCGACATACACCTGTTCGCACATTCAGAAATATGTTTTCAAACGGTCGGTTGCTCATGAGGACATCCCATTAGGCAGTGTTACTGATGTATTTTTCAATCTCATTCCTTTCAATTAAACTTTTTTTTTAAATGTTTTTGTATACTGAAAAACCGGTAAAAATAACATTCATAAATTATCTATTTTTTTCCCGCTAACCCTGATCTTATTCTGCCAAATAGTTTTGAAAGCCGGTTTTATTTGGTATAGATAATATTAGTGAGAGATTCTTAATGTGATTTTATAAATATATATTTTGTACTTGATGCAGGTTTTGTGTGCTATGATTCTAAAACCGAAAGAATTATTAATTTTTCTGTTGTTATGAAAATAATTATATTGAATGCATGTCATAGTTTATCAAAACAAAATTATTTCTGTCCAATGGGGAACAAGTTTAGTTTATAAATACATTTTAGGTGTTTTTTAAATTATTTTATAAATCAGAATGGATTTATGAGAGTTTGCTAAGATTGACAAGCTGTCCTTAAAGCCTTCACAGTTTGCACTTGCATAGTTTGCGAACAGTTTAAGCCTGGTAACTAATGCACTAGCCTTCATTTCATTATCTTGTTCCCCTTCAAACCCAACTTAGCAGTAGCTGTGAAAGGTTCTTCAGAATTTTATTTTATTTTTAAATAACCTACCTATAAGATAAAACAATCCTCAATGATATTTCTTATCTCTTCTATTGTTTAGGGAGGGATGAATTAGAAAAAATATATGAATTCAAAATTATTAAATTTTATTTATGACAACTCTTTTATATCATTTATTTGCTTTATTCAAGAATCGAAACAAAATAACATTAATTGAAAAACAATATAAAATATATATTATACAATAAAATCAAATTATTTGACTTTCCTTCTGAAATGTAAATGCTACTCCAAACATTAGTTACAGTCAATTTTAAATAGGTTTAAAATATTCGTTGTATGTTTTGGCTTTTTTACATTTATGGCTTTAATTTTACAAGCATTTAAATAAGTTTACAAGGGCTTTAAATGTTAGCGTGTATAAGTTATTAAATATGATGGAACTTTCAAGTATTTAGAAGTATTATTTATTTTCTAAAAGATTTAAAATGAAATTGTCAGTCCTAGTGAACATATGAGTAGATATTTAGCGCAATCCATTGAGGTTTATTTGTAAATGAATGAAATTAAAACAAGTATTTTCATATGTGTATATATATATATATATATATATATATATATATATATATATATATATATATATATATATATATATATATATATATATTTATGGTACAATTAAAAAAAAAATTAGCCGGTTTATCATGTTAGAGTTCATGTCAATTAATTTTACGCTTGACATTCAAATCCTCTCAAAAGTTTGCCTTGTAAAATAAAAGGTGCGTTTTTTTTCTTGTCTTTTTTTAATAAAAAGTTACTAGTTTCACCTAGTCATGGTGTTTCTATAATTTTATGAGAAATGTACAAAAAGTTTTCAGTTATCTTTAATAGGAAAACAAAAAAAAATACAGTGAGTTTGTTATGCTATGGAATAGAATTGACTTACCTGTAAAAGTGCTAATATACTTTGCTTTGAGGTTGAGATTTTATTATTTTATTTTTTTGCATCTACTTGCAAGATGCATGTACCATATAATTAATTTATTTTTGCTTAACGAAGAGCAAAAAAAAATAGGTTTCCGTTTGACGGGTACCTTTGTCGCGTGATGACAAACTCCTTTATCCAAGTTAAGCACAATCAACAAGTTTACTGCTTAGTGGTCATTAGCTTAAACTTGATCCGGTCAAACACATATATTCTTCAAAATCTATATTTAAAAAAAAAATTAAATACCTTAGTTATGTACTACAATTATGAATAATACGGAATTTGAATTCTAACATGTTTTCTAATTTTCATTTGGGACCACAACTCTAATATTTTTGTAGGACCTCTTATTACGGTTTGGTTTATTTTCTAATTAGCATTTCGGTATGAAAAGCATTGAAATTTATTTTATGATTCAAAAACTTATAAAAATATATTTTTATATTAGTACTATATATTTTTACTACAGCAATATTATTTTACCAATGTGATGGTTTTTTTTTTAATAATGGAATTTACAACTGTATTAAATTAAAAATAAAACCAGTACATATTAAAAAAGAAATATAATGACATGAAAAAGGATGTAGAGATAACTACTCTATGGTTGCGAGGCCATCTTATGGTAATTCAAGTTCTGCTTTTTAATTCTTTCTGGAGGATTTTAGCACACTTAATCTTTATCAATTGTAAATTTCCTTTTTTCATTTTTTTTTTTTTATTGAATTACCTTTATTTAGTGAAATAATTAATATATAACAAAGCAAAATATCGCCCTATATATGGTCCTATGTACCCCCAAAATCTCAATACATTTTGATTATTATTGCTTCTATTGCGGTTTGAGGTTTGATATGGTAAAGTTGCCTACTCCAACTGTTTAATTGGAGCTTCATCGTTTTCTTGTTCTAATTCAATGACCATCTTGCCTTGCAGACTTACCGTTGGTAGTTTCGGAAGTGCAGTTACCGTACAGACGCCATTACCGTATTGTCATCCTTGCCTTCATGAACAATAGACCATGTTCACATGTTCCTTTTTACCGTTCTTCGAGTCCCTTCAACGCACATAACAGATAAAAAGCACGGACACATCTTTTTTCCGTTATCTGAGGGATCCATGGTCTAGAATCTTGTCGGCAGTGTGACTTCCTCCGCTGGTTCCATGTTAGCAGCCCGGAAGGGAGCTGTTGGTTGTTATACCCCAGCGTTGCCAACATATCTTCTAGTAATAATAACTTATCCGACGAGATGGGATTTCGGTGTAGCGGATACTATCTCTTGAGCTTCACATAGGAACGTGAGAGTTTTCCTTTCCTTGTCGGAAGATTGGAAATCATTTGAAGTAGTTCGGGAATCGACAGTTTAGAGTATTTATGAAACTTATAAACTGGTTTGATTGAACAGCCGTTTAATAATTTTAAAAGAAATAGTTTTCATCCAATACAATAAAAACATAATAATATTAAACAGAAAAACCTGGAAACATTTTAAAGTTAGAAAAGTCCATACAGTGTTCTGTTCCGTCAGTTTTTATTTTTGTATCTATCTTAAAAATTGAATTTATAATTTTCATTTTTCACAAAAAATAAGGTATATGTCAAAATGTATTCCTTGTTTAAAAAGTGAACATTACTAATACTGCGATGGTTATTTAATAATGATTGAAATATTAACAGGCCAGAGGTCAAAAGAAGGCCGACAACTGATACCATAAAATGTCTCAAG